ACCCGTGGCCCCTGTGGGCGGAGCTGGTGAGCCGCCGTTCCCTGCACGCCCCGCTGCCTCCCGCGTGTGCAGGGGGCAGTGTCGCTTGCCGTGGACCCCGGTCGTTTCTCCCGGGGCCCATCAGGAGGAAGCGTCTGGGCGCCGGCCGGGTAGCCCTGTGGGCCGCGGCGTCGTCCTGCGGTCCCAGGGTTGGGGGTTCGGCCCTCAGTCAGGACACGTGCGGCCGACGACGCACGGAGTGGAACAACAAAGCGGCCTCTCTCTCTCTCTCTCTTTCAAATGAGAGAGGGCGAGCACGCACGTCTGGCAAGTGCCCCGGCTCGGAGCACGGCCCAGAGCCTGTCTCCGGTGAACGAAGCCTCATGCCCTCTCCGCGCCTCCTCGCTGCCACGCCTCCCCCTCGTCTCCTCTAATTAGGAAAGTGGAACTTCAAACAATTATGCGAACGAGGAATGGCTCTGAGCGCCCGGTGGCCTTCCCGCAGGCGCCCGATCTTGCCCGATGACAACAGCGGTGACGAATTTGGAAGGAGGGAGACCCATGTTCCCCCTGATCCTTCAACAGAGGTTGCTTTGCTCTCCAAAGTCACATCCCTGGCTCCAAAACCAAACGCGTTTAACGGCAGGGCCCTCTCGGGCTCTGAGCAGGCGCGCAGGAGCGGAGAATGTTCTGGAGGGAGTGCGGCCCCGTGGGCGTGTGGGACTCAGGTTTGGAGAGGGCCCTGGAGGTGGGCCGGCATCCCCAGCTCCCCTCCCGCCCTGATCCTGACCACCTGCTTCCCACACACAGCCCGGGCCCGCCGCCGCCGCCTCTGCCCGGATTCCCCGTGACCCGGTTTTTTGGGAGCTACCTACCTGCCCACCAGGTGGGGCTCAGGCCCTGCTCAGCCTGGGCCCCCCACCAGCTCCTCCCTACGTGGGCCAGGACGGGGCTCACCCAAGTGCATCGCCCCCCCCGGGCCAGGACGGGGCTCACCCGAGCGGGGTGCCGGCCTGGGCCGAGTCGTCAGTGCCCACAGGCCACCTTGCCTCAGGGAGCCTCCTCTTCTCCCTCTGGACGCTCCCCGACAGCCTTGTCCGCCCAGGCCCCTGGGCTCCCTCTCAGGCCCCCGAGTGCCCTCCACCGGTGGTTATTGTGCCTGATGCTCCAGGGCCCCCCATTTCCCGCAGGCCCCCCGTTTCCCACAGGCCGAAGCAAAGCCCCCGGGAGCCCCAGCAGCCGCGTCCCCTTGGTGTGTGGTCAGGGGCCAGGCGGTGGCTCCCACGACGCCGGTGCGCGCCGCTGACCCAGCCGCGGTCCTGCGTTGGCCCGTTGTGGGACTGCGTCCTGCCGGACCGCGAGGGCAGACCTGCGCCCGGCCCCCCAGCCGCCTGCTCGGCCCCCGGCACCCAACCAACGCCACGGCCACAAGGCGAGGTTTTATGTTTGCAGCCGTAAAAGGTGCTGCGCGTGCAGAATTTTTAGTGACGCAGGAAACTGCCCGAGAGGCGCCGGTAAGAGCAACGCAGGCCTGTGTGCACCGCGTGTGACGGCATCAAACTGGGTGGCAGCCATTCTATGTAATCGTATAGAAACAACACAGAGCACTGAAATATTGGTGTTGGTTTTCCCTGTGGAGCGGGGCCCTGGGGGACCCTGCATGTGCACACATGTATGTATACACATGTGGTTTGTGTGCGCGTGTGTCCAGCATTTTCCACAGTGAGCGTTTATGACTTTTTCAAGCAGAACCGACGCGCCCTCTCACGGAAGGAGGGAGGGCTCACGATGCTGGCAGCGTGTAAAATGAACCTAAACCTTCCGTGAGGCAGTTTGGCACCGAGATCCATAAAAATTAACAGATAGGAACTATTAAGCAACTGTTTACGTACCCATTTGGCAGACTATTACGTGGGGGTATTGATCACAATCACGGAGCCCCACACGATCGCTAAGGAGACGCTCGACGGTCATTTTGAGTGGGAGCGAAAAGCAAAACGCAGACAGACCCCCGTCGTTAGAACCGAGCGCCAGCACTTGGCGCCCGGACCCCTCTCGAGGGCCAGGCCGCAGCCAGCGCGCGGGGTGGGGGCGGGGGCAGCGCTCAGGGCCGGGTGGCACGGCCGTCGCCAGGGTCCTGCCGAGCTGAGGAAGGCCCCCGACGTCTCTGAGAGAGGCCCCTGCTGGCCATGAGCGCGGGTCCCCAGGTGCCCCCAGCCCAGGGCGGATGCTCAGTCCGGATGCTGTGACCCAGCCAGGCTCCTCCCCGGTCACCGGGTCGGTCCTCATGCTGAGCAGGCACCCCAGCCCTGCTGGGGGACCTGACCAGGGGGGCCGGGGCGGGCGACGGGGCGGTGTGGACAGGGGTCCCCCCTGCCGGCCTGGGCGGCCCAAGGCGCACAAGGTACCCAGGCGTCACAAAGCCAGGTGCGTCCAGAGACGCTGCAGACCAGCCCCCCTCCCGGGGCGCAGCGGTCAGAGCAGTTGGCAGGCGGCTTGTTAATGTCCTTGCTGGTCTGGACGGACAGCTGGTGACTTTCACCGGCCCCTCTAAATTCTTCTCTGAGGTGCTGTGTGCTTGGCAGGCTGGGCTGTGCCTACCGCGAGTCTCCGTGGTCTTTCTGTGGGAGCGGAGACTGAGGGGTCGTCCCCGCAGCGGCCGGCACAGGACGCTGTCACCGCAACAAACCGTGGCTCTCGTGACCAGCTGTGGCCTCCACGGGTCCAGAAAAGCCGGAGGAAGACACTGGCTTTTGTTTGTTGTTTGGAAGAGCTTCCTTCAGACGTTTCCAGGGCTGAGCTAATCCATGCAAATTCCCCATTGTTCTCGAAATCACGTCTCATTCAAGGACTGAAGGAGGGAGGAAGGGCAGGATTTCACACAGGAAAACGCGGCTGTCAGCACGTCCTTGGAATCCGCCGGGACGGGCTGCCCGGGCGGCGGCGAGAGCCGCGGGCCCGTGTGCTGGGCTCCCGGCCACGCTCACGGAGCCCCACAGACCGGCGGCCGAAGCAAGGGACCCTCGCTCCCTTTGCATCTGGGATCCGGGTGTCGGAGGGCCCGGCTCCCTCTGGAGGCTCGAGGGCGGGGCCCTTCCTGCTGCTGGTGGCCACGTCCCTCCCTCCCCTGCCTCAGTCTTCCCGCGGTTTCTCCTGAGTTTGTGCCCCGAGGCTCTCTCCTGACACAGACCGGACTGGGGGGCTGGGACCCTGGGACTCGCCCCAATTTCGGACGACCTCTCACACCCACAAATGTGTCCTCTGTACAAAGCTATACAGATGGTCAAGGTCCAACCTAAGAACCAAAACAGGCCTAGTTCTGGGGAGGGAACGCCGTGTCGGGAGGAGCGATCAGCGCGGTGGCCTCGCCGTTGGAAAACCCCTGCCTGGGTGGCCTGGGCTTCCCTGCTAGGGCCCCAGGGCGCAGCTCCGGCCGAGCTGCCGGCTGTGGGTGACCTGGTGGGGTGGCCTCGCCCTGCTGTTTCGGTCCCCAGACAGGCCTTGTGGTCACGGAGCCCGATGCAGACGTTCTAGGGCCCTCTGGCGACATGAGAGCAGGAGATGCAGAAGGTGCCCTGGGAGTGTCTCCCCCGCCCTTTTGTTCTTGCAATTCAGCATTTTGTATTTTTGCTACTTTTTTACTGTGGTAAGAACACTGAGTGTAAGGTCTACCGTCTTAGCAAACGTTTAAGTGCCCGGTGCAGCGCCATCAACGAGGCCCCGCACAGCAGACCTCCGAGCCTCCTCTTGTCGGTTTAGAGAGAGAGAAACTGGGGAAATGTGTAGAAGCGACACCTCACACCCCAGCAGTAACTCGGGGAGCCTGGGAGTCGGAGACGGGGCCGAAGTCGATACTTGCAGAAATAGAGCCTTTCCAGGTCAGGAGGTGCCCACCAGGACAAGCCAAAATGCCAGCAGAGAGAAGACGCAGCAGGGGCCGGAGCGGGCCGGCCGGGCGCCGAGGAGAGACAGACGCCCCCCCACTACACGCCCCCCCCCACCCCACAGCAGCGGGGAGCCCAGGGCACCGGCTCTGCTGACAGAGCAATTCCAGACGCTGGAAGTGACATGCGGATGCGAGTGGACAAAACAAAAGGGACCAGAAGCAGGAAAATGGTCCCCGGGGAGCGGGGCGTGTGGAGTGAGGGAGGGCGGGGGGCGCTGACTCTGCAGGCTGTTGTCAGCGCAGTTGGGGCCGCGCTGGGCGCGTGGGGACAGGCCTGTCCCCAGAGTGCAGGCGCCCTGTCTCCAGGTGGCACCCGGGAGGCGGCGGCCCCCGGACTTCCTGAAGCGGAAGCCATGTGTGCGCTGCCGACGGTCCACACGGCGCGGTCGTGCGTGCTGAGCAGTGTTAAAACAGGCGGGGAAGCGGTCCACATGCGTGTGAGCCTTCCTTCCTCCTCAGCTCGCGCCCGCCCGCCCCTCACGACCCCGATGCTGCGCGGACCCTGCGGGGCTCCGTCCGTCCTGCGCAAAGCGCCTGCCCCCTGCGGGGGGCACTGAGGGCGGATGACGGAGCTGGGAGGCGGCCCCGTGAGCCTGCGCCGCCGGCTTTGCATCTTTACTGTCAGTTTATGTTTAGTTTATATTTTAAAAAGTCCACAGACTCTTTAGAGCTGTTGTAGGTTCACAGGGACGTGGGGGGGAAGTGCAGAGAGCTCCCGAGTGGCACCTCCCACACACGCAGCTTCTGTTGTTCAGATGCGTCCTCGGCCCCCAAAGGCCGCAGCTCCCACGGGGCTCGCTCGGGGCGGCCCCTCTGTGGGTCGGGACAAACGTGCAGTGACACCGGTCCACGATGGCAGTTCTGCCGCCCCAAACCCTCTGCTCCGCCTGTTCGCCCTCACCCCCGGCCCGGCACCCAAGGAGCCCCCCGCCCCCGCCCCCGCCCCTCGGTTTTGCCGACCTGCCTCCACCGAATGCCCCGCGTGTACGGGGTCTGCGCCCGAGGGGAAGGGGCCGCCCTGGGCGGAGGGACCGCGCGGCCGGGACCTGCCTGACCCCGTTCCTGCCCCCGCCAGGCCTCGCCAAGCCCATGGGTCTGGTGGAGGGCCCGGGGGGCCCGGGCCAAGGCGGCGTGGCGGCCACGCTGCGGGACGGCGGCCAGGAGACGGCCGGCAACTACGAGGAGTACGGCTACAACGCGCAGCTCAGCGACCGCATCTCCCTGGACCGAGCCATCCCCGACTACAGGCCCAAAAAGTGAGTAGTGACGCTCCCCCCGCGACGTGCCCCGTGGGCTCGGGCACAGACGGTCACGTGGACGGGTGTGTGTCCCCGGCCCTGTGCTCCCAGCCAGCGTCCGCTCCAGGGCCCGGCGACAGGACAGGCGGCTGGGTCCCTCTGGGCACAGACGTCTCCTGAAACGAAAACGGGCAGACGCGGCCTGGCCCGGGGGCCCGTCCCGTCACAGGGGCGACGTCGAGGCGCGCTGCGGGGGAGCGGACGTTGGCAGGCGCCTTCGCGGACAGGACGCGGGTGCTCCGCGCCGACGTGGGGGCCGCCCTCTGCCGCCCTGAGTCAGGGAATGTGGATTTTGTGTGTTGTTTGTTCCTGTCCCATTTCTTTCCAAAAACGAAAGGAGGCAGCTTTGGTGCTAGGGACACGCACAGGACCCCCAACACACGGAGGCACGTGCACACACGTGCACACACGGTGGAGTGAGGCCTTCCCAAGCCCCCGTCCTCCCTGCGAGGTCCTGTGGGGCCCCTGGGCGCGCGCCCTCGCTCGGCCCAGCCACCCCCACGCGCAGTGGGCGGCCTCACGGGGTCGTCCGTGTGCGGTGGCAGCTCCCGGGAGCCATCGCTCAGGGCACGGGCCCTGGTCACCCGGGAGGGAAGAGACGCGGCCAACGCCCTGTGCCCGAGGCTCGTGTCAGGGCGCCACCCGCGGGCCCGCGCTGGCTCACTCCACGCCCAGGGAGGCTCGAAGCGCCAGCGTGCCCCCTCTTTTCAGGTGGGAAACCGAGGCAGGAAGCCCGGGGCTCTGGACGGAGACCCCAGGCGTGTGGGTGTGGAGCTGGGAGCCGGGCGGTTGGCGGGTCCCCAGAGAAAGCGGACGCCAGGCACTCGGAAGGACGGAGCAGGGAGGGCGCGTCTCTCCAGGGCAAGCACCCCGAAATCCGCAGGGGGGAAGCTCAGCCAGTGCCGCCGCCGTGGCCCTCAGACGCGGACGCCTGCCTGGCCGAGTCCCCGCGGAGCCAGAGATCCCCCTGCGGGGACACACACGGGATGTCGGGGGCATGTGCACGCGTGTGCACGCGTGCCTGCACCTGTGTGCATGCGCTGTGTCGCTACGTGTGCCTGCATGTGCGCACAGGGCGTGTGGAAGCATGTGCCTGCGTGTCTGTGCCCGTGTCCCTGCCCCCGGGGTTATTCGGAGGCTCGCCACTTCCTCCCGTTAACACAGTATTGATTCCCCTCTCGCTGGAGGCGGACAGCTTCCTAATTAAGCGGTGGCTTTAATTATGCTACAAAGCACACGGCATAGATCTTGATTATCAAGCCTGGCCCAGGGGATCATGAAAGGGAAACCGGCGAATTCACATTAAACAGGATCATAAAAGCGAGCGGCCTTATCCGGCCCCCCCGCCCCCGCATTCCAGCGCAGCCAGGCCCCGCGGCCACCGCCTGCCACGTCCCCGCGCGCGGCACTTGTCCAGGCCGCAAGCAGCTTTGCGGTCGACTCTAACCGGTGCAGACCGAGCAGAGAGCGACGGGAAGACCCGTCCTGGCTGCCGGTGCAGACGCCGCTGCGTGGGCGACGTTCACCTGTCTGAAGCGTGGCCCCTCGGTCTCCCTTCAGTTTTCAAAGGAACCCGGAGCCTCAGCACAGGCGCCCGGCCAGGCGTCCCTCTGCCCCCGCGGCCCTGGGAGGGGGCTCTGGGCCCGGGCATTCCTGTCCCCGCCCCCAGCGCCCTCCCTCCGCCCCTGTGTCCGCCCCCGGCCCGGGGTCACTGGCTCACGGCTTCCTCGGAGCCGTGCTCTCGCCAAACCCCAGTTCCTCCCCGATGCCGTCACTCGGCGGATTCTCCGTCAGGCAGACAAGAGCCCACTGGTTCCACTTGAGGGGAGTCGCTCCGGGGCTGCCCCTCGCTTCCGCCCCCCTCACGCACATTGGAGCCCGTCCCTGGCCCCACCAGGCACTGGGCGGGGGCTGCGCACTCAGCCGAGGCCGCCGCTCAGGGCAGGGAGGCCCAGCCGCCGACGCGGGGCCCCTGGGTCAGGCACAGACGGCTCCCACGGCCCCGGCCACACCTCCTCGGAGACGCGGTTCCTTCCTCAAGGCTTTACACATTCTACACATTTTGCAAGTGCACAGAGACTGTGCATTGCAACTTTTTTCCTCGACAGGAAAACAGAGTGAAGACTTCTTGTCAGAAAGCGTCGTTCTGAGCGATGGGCCTCTGGCCTGCGGCCGTGTCAGGTGCAGGCAGGATGTGGGGCCGCTGTTGGTCTTTGGAAGCCACGCTGGGGCTCCGGCTTCCGCGGGGGAGCCGTCCCTGCCCGCCAGCTCTGAGCTCTGGCCGAGCCACGGGTCCTCCGGGTTCCGGACGACAAGGCTTCCCTCGCAGATGCCAGTCGGTCCCGGTGGCCGCCTTGCCGGTTGCCGGGGGCCACGCCTGCTGCCTGCGGGACCGCGGGTGCCGCCTGCCGGGCCGCAGACAGGGCTGACGAGCCCCCTTCCCCGAACCCGGGCGTTCACCGCGCGTTTCACCTCCTCTGCGCCTTCCGAGGGCGCCGGGGGAAGGCTGCAGAGGCCCACACGGGACTCGAAGGCCTTCCAGCGGCGAGTCGGCGGCGCGGGCTCAGGGCACGGGCGTCTGCACCGTCTCACCGGGCTCGGCCGTCGCTCTGTCGCGGGCGGTGGGACCGGCGCCGGCCTGAGCCGGCCCCCGCGCTGACGCGGCCCCTCGCCGGCCCCGCAGGTGCAGGCAGATGAGCTACGCGCACGACCTGCCCCAGATCTCCGTGGTCTTCATCTTCGCCAACGAGGCGCTGTCGGTCATCCTGCGCTCCGTCCACAGCGTCGTCAACCACACGCCCCCCCAGCTGCTCAAGGAGGTCATCCTGGTGGACGACAACAGCGACAACGGTGAGCGGACCCCGCCCCCGCCCCGCCGTCCCCGCCGTCCATGAGTGGGACCTCGCTGGGTCTCTCGCGGAAGCGGAATCAGACAGTATCTATCCCTTTGTGTCTGGCTTGTGTCGCTGAGCACGGAGTCCTCGAGGCCCATCCGCGCTGCAGCCGGCGACAGAACTTCCCTCTTTTTAAGGTCGAATGACGTGGCAGGCGTGCGAGGCCACGTGCAGGGACGCCGCTCCCCATGAAGCCTGAATAACTCGGCCCCACCTCTCCCGTCCCCGCAAGGCCTGCCTCTGCCTGAACCCGTCCTGTTTGCTCCTTGCCCTGCGTGTCCCCTGGGACGCCAGCTTCGTGGTGGGGGGGTCTGTCCCTGCGTGGTCTCCCCTGCATCACGCCCAGCCGCAGGGGTCCCCCTCACACACTCACAGGCTGTGGAGCGGGGAGCCCGGCGCCCCAACCTGCCCACATGGACCTGGTCTTGGGGCCTCGGGCCCCTCCCAGGATGTCGGGGCGCTGAGACGCCTTGTGTCCCCCCACAGTGGAGCTCAAGTTCAACCTGGACCAGTACATCAACAAGAGGTACCCGGGCCTGGTGAAGATCGTGCGAAACAGCCGGCGCGAGGGCCTGATCCGGGCGCGGCTGCAGGGCTGGAAGGCGGCCACGGCCCCGGTCGTGGGCTTCTTCGACGCCCACGTGGAGTTCAGCACCGGCTGGTGAGGGGCGGGCGGGCGGCGGCCGCCCAGGCGCTGGGTGGGCCTGGTGGGGGGGCAGTCGGGTGGGGCGGTCTGTGCGAGGACTGAGCTGGACGCCCACCTTGACCGCCAAGGAGTTAGAATTGGCCGGCCGTCCAGCAGGTGACAGTGAAAAGGGGCCAGACCAGGGCAAGGGGCCAAGGTCGGGGCCTGGAGGCCGAGCCCCGGGGCTCACGTGGGAGGCGGTTTCTCGTGTGTACGGAACGTGGCAGATCAGACTCACATTCTCCCTCGCCCCCGCCCCCCAAGCAGGCGCTTCCAGTGAAGCGAGACCCGGGGCCCCCCGCTCCCGCCCCAAGCCCTCCAGGGGCGGCCCTCAGCTCTCCTGGGCACCCCAGCCCCCGCTCGGTCCCAGCACGTGCCTGACCCGGGCGGGGTCCCCTCTGGCCCCCGTTTCTCTCTCCGCTGCCGCCGCCCGAGACAGCTCTTCCTGCGGTGACGTCTGTCACCTTCTGCCCTTAGTTTCGTCGTACGGCCTGCCCCTGGCGGGTGCCTGCTCACTGCCGTGGGGGCTGCGTGCGGCCAGCGCACCTGGGGCCTCCCCGGGCCGCGGACGGGTGTTAGACGCCCCCACCGGGCCCTCAGAGGGTGTCTGGAGAGCCGCGAGCCTGCCCCCTCAAAGCGCAGCTCTAACTGCTGTAACTTTAATTCCACCCCGGAAAACCCAGCTCTCTGTCTCTGTCAAATCGCCCCCCCGCCCCCCCCCCCCCGGAGGACGGCCTGCCCCTGGCTCCTGCCTCACAACAGGCCTGGCGTTTCCAGAGAGCGTTTTGTCCCTGAGCGCATTGCTAACAGCGACTAGTCCGTGCCGCGCTCGAGGCCGAGGGGCAGGCGGGCACCGGGCTCAGACGGGCGGGAAGGCAGGTCCCCACCAAGCCGTCCCGCCTGAGCCGAGCCCCGGACCCCGTCCCCCGCAGGGCCGAGCCCGCCCTCACGCGGATCCGGGAGGACCGCCGGCGCATCGTGCTGCCCGCCATCGACAACATCAAGTTCGACACGTTCGAGGTGCAGCAGTACGCCAGCGCCGCCCACGGCTACAACTGGGGGCTCTGGTGCATGTACATCGTCCCGCCGCAGGACTGGCTGGACCGCGGTGACGAGGCCGCGCCCATCCGGTGAGCCACCCCCGGGCGGCGGGGTGGGGACGGGGACGCTCCGCTGCAGAGCCCGGCGCCAGCGGGGACGCGGAAACGGCCAGAGCAGCCAGACGTGCAGGGGAAGGGGGGCTTGGGAGTGGATTCTGACACGTGACCTGGGTAACGACAAGGTCGGGTTGGGAGAGGAGGACGGAGAGACAGACGGACAGAGAGAAAGAGGCAGGGGAAGAGAAACAGACACAGAGAGGGCAGGACAGGGCCGACGCCAGGAGAGAGGGAGCAAGAGAGACTGCAGAGGACGGACAGACAGACAGACAGAGTCAGGAGAGAGAGGCTAAGAGACTCGAGAGAGAAGAGGGTCTGAGAGCAGAGAGGGACCGAGAGACAGAGACAGACAGACAGACAGACAGACACAGAGAGGGAGCTGAGAGGAGGCGGCACCGCCAGCGCCTTGACCGCGAGCCGGAGAGTGGAGACCGCGCACCCAGCCCACGCTGCCCGCACACCGCCCGCCGCCCTTCCCCGGACCCCACAGACAGTCCCGCGGAGCATTTGTTTTGAGCCAGTTCCCAGACGTGACAATGGAAAGACTCATGATAAAAATACACAAACCCAGCATCTTTTGAAAAATGGGAAGGCCCGGGGTCCCACAAGGCAGGGGTGGGCTGGAGCTGGGCAGTGGGCCCTGTCCGAGTGGAGTGTGGTCTCTGCGCGGCCACCGTCCCCACCGCGGCTCCGGCCCCCTGACCCCGGGCCACCACGCTACCCCGCCAGCCTTCGGACACCCGGCTGCGGCCGCCTCTCTGCTTCCACCACGGACTGGACTCGGCTCCTGCAGCTCACAGCCCCGCCCTCGTGGCGGAAGCCCTGGGAAACCCACAGGGCCACCCGGAGGTTGCGCTCAGGGCTCCCTGGGCTCCCTGGCGCCTGGCGGAGAAGCCGCTGCCCTTGTCCCGAAGGGCAGACACGGAGCACCCACGCCGGCCGAGCGGGGCGGGCCTGACGTTTAGAGAGCTACTCCGGGGAGCTTTCGGCCGTTCGTTGCACTCACACAGATACACACCCGCCCACGCATCCCCACGTGCGCGTGTGCCTGCCCCGGCGCCCTGAGGGCGCCCCGCAGGGTGGGGAGCACGTTTCCGCGGAGCCTTGCTGTTCCCTGTCACCACAGCAGAATTTCTTGTGCAAATGAATTCGGTGCCGACGCTGCTGCCGTCACCTTCTGAGTTGAAGTTTTCTTTGAAACTCAGAGCAATAATTTTTACAAAACAGCCGGCACCAGGGATAACACACTCGGCAGGGGATCGGGCAGTTCAGCCCACCGGAGATTTCGTTAAGACAGCGAGAGAAACACCAGGTGCACGTCGGTGGACCGTACCCGACCGGCCGCGTGCTTCCTGCTGACGTCAAAGGCGGCGTTCGAGGGCTGCGGCCGGGGGACTCCCGGCCAGAAGCCAAGGGCAGAACAAATCGGATCTTTGCACAAATAAAAGGACGGCGCTTTTTAATGCCTGTTTTCTTGGAAAACTGACGAGCATTTACCTCTGACTTCCCGGCTGCTGGGCATAGAAATGCTTCTTTTAACTTGTGATTGAGGCCGATTTCTCTCTGCTGGTTTCACTGAGGAGGAATTTGAGGAGGAATTTAATTCCCTGGGAGGAGGGGGCGGGGCCTCGGCCTCCCTCTCAGCAACGTCAGCGGCCACCGGGCCTCTGGGGACTACGGAGACTGTGCTGGTCTTCAGGGCTGAGAAGAAACCCAGCCCTCAGCCTGCAGCGGAATTCTCTTTGTTTTGAGGCAAAATCTTCCATCAGAAGCTTGGAAGGTCCTGTTTGCCCACAAAGCACAGACTGTGCCTATTTCTTGCTGGATAGACTGTGCCTTTCTCTTCCTTCATCACCCAAACCGCCTCGGTCTGTCCTCAACGGGCGGGTGTGCCGTGATGCCGTGGGACACGCACCCTGCGCGCCCTCACTGCTCGCGGAGACCACTTCGCGGGGGGAGGGGCGCAGCCCCGAGAGACGCTTCCTGCGTTTTAGAAAAAAATGCAGCCAGCACATCGACACACAGCTTCGCAGATACGATCGCTCAGGACAGAGGGAGACTGGCTGACGTTTTTAATCGCGTCGCGGTGAATAGACTCATCGGAGGGACGCGGGTGCGGTTGGCGTGTGTCGCACACGGCTGTGCAGGCTGCACGCTCTGCGACTGCAGCGTGTCGTGCGCAGTGTGACGTCGGCGAGGTTCTGCAGGATTGGGCCGCGGGCTCTGGGCGGCCTGTCGCAGCCCTGGCTCCCGGTGCCCAGAGCCCAGAGACCAGGCGACGAGGCAGGGAGGCAGGTGACGGCGGCTTGGGAGGGGAGGTCCCGGGCCACCAGGCGCCTGCTCAGGGAACCGGTTTCTTAAACCCACTACACTAAGTTTCCTGGATGGAACTCCAGGCTTGAATGAGCCCGTGGACTCGGTCTGTCTGCCGGTGCCCCAGCAGGTGCCGAGGGGCGCAAAGGCCAGGCTGGGTGGCCCTGCCTGAGTCCTCGTGGCCGGAGGAACGGGGACCAAACGGAGCCCAGGGAAGAGGTGTGAGGGCGCGGAGGCAGCCTGTGGGCCCACTAGGCCCCCCGGGGCCCCCCACTCCGCTCACGCCGCTGTCTGCTTCCCGCCAGGACGCCCGCCATGATCGGCTGCTCGTTCGTGGTGGACCGAGGGTATTTCGGAGACATTGGCCTCCTGGACCCAGGCATGGAGGTGTACGGCGGCGAGAACATCGAGCTGGGCATGAGGGTGAGTGGCCTGTGGAGGGCGCTCTGTGGCCGCCTGGGGCCGGGCGGGTGGGCCCGGAACCGTTTGTCCTGCTGGGGGGACGAGCGGCCCCTAACCGAGAGGCCGCGAGCGCTGCCCGGCGGCACTGGGGCCACGGGGCGCTGTGCTCATTGACGTGACAACACTTGTGTCCTCTGTGCTTCTGTTAACCGTTTGGCCGTTGGCTTTTGCTGCGTCATCACGCTCGGGCGTCGGCCGCCGCCGGTCGGGGATCCCGGGCTTGTCCCTTCCGTGCGTGCGCCGGGGCGCCTGCGCGGAGGAGGCCGTCCTTGGGTCGTGGTGCGCTTGCCTCGCTCGGATGCGGGAGGCCGGGCGCAGCTGCGGGTGGCGGGTGCCCAAGTCCCCAGGGCGGCTCTGCGGGCAGCTGCCAGCTGAGCGGCTGGAGCGGCTGGGCCCACGGAACCGCGGCGCCGGGTGCGACCGTGGGCGACTGACATCGGTTCCTCGGGCCGCCCTTCCCCTGCCGGAGGCTCCCGGTTTCAGACCTCCTCTCCCTGGCTGTTTGGAGAACTGGCGGAAAGTTCTGGAAGAATCTTCGTTGTTAATCAGGGGCCCTGGCAGGGGGAGCTCATTCTCCGGGAGGCGGTAACAGCCCCCCGGAAGGTGCTTCACCACGCAGGGGCTGGGGCGGGGGGCGGGTTCCCCCGGGGACAGCGCCCCCTGGACAGGGCGTGGAAGCTGCGCGCCCAGACCCGGAGCAGTGCCTGGCAGCAGGCAGCTCTGGCGACCTTCGGCACCCAGGGATCACGCTCCCGGCCCTGCAGGGCTGGGACCCTCCGCAGCCCCTCCCGGGGTCCGGGTTTCCCGCAGGGAGCTGAGCACCCGGTTGCGGGGGTGACGGGGGGGGGGGCGGGGGGGGGCGGGGGGGCAGGCTGCCCGAGGGAACAAAGCAGCTGGAAGCCCCGCCTCCCAGGATGGAGGTGACAGAGGAGGAAGCAGCGGGAGGCGGCCGGGAGCGCGGGGAGAGGTCTGCGTGCAGTTCGAAACGCCTGTCAGAGCAGGGGTCACCGGCAGAAGGCGGGGTGCCACGGGGGAGCCGGGGAGAGGAGGGGCATCCCAGGCAGTGTGCGTGGCAGGTGCAAGGGCCCGGAGGCAGGGCCGCCCGTGTGCCCCACGGCGTGGAGGCCTGTGGGGCCGTCGGAGGAGGGCGGAGGGGAGCGGGGCCAAGGCTCCTGGGTTGGGGGCAGGGAGGGACCCCGCGGGGGGGAGCGGGTGTCAGGCGGGCGCACCTGCGATGCTCTTGGGTGGAGGTGCCGTGGTGTTGGCTGGTGGGCGGGATGAGGGGTCAGAGCCCCTCTGCGGTGCTTGGCCTGAGCAGCTGGAGGGACTACGCTGAGGTGGGGACTCGGCGGGGGCGGGGCGGGGGGCGGCCGCCCCTCGTCCTGGGCCGCGCTGGCTTCCTGTGGTTGAGCTGGGCTGCCCTGGGGTGAGGTGCGGTGAGATCCGGCGAGGGCGCGGTGCCTGTTTTTGTGTGTGTTCTGGGCTTTCATTTGTTTTTTGGGTTTTGATTTTTGCCTGCAGGGCCTTTATTCACAGAATGTATTAAGGCCAATTTTTAAAAATTTATATACAGTGTATTGAAGTGGCACATTGCAAATCGTGTTTGCTTTAAGCTTTGAGGTTAAACCGAGAGATCACAGTATTACGATTATAAATCTAATAGAATAACACTGACCCCCCCTTTTACTTTGATTAATGTTTGATTAACTCCAGTTGAACAGATTAAATGCCATTAAACAATCAGTTCCATTTCTGCTGGTAGTTAAATTCCCTTGAACCTTTTAAAATGACGCTTATAAATGTAATGTATTTTCTTTTCTCTTCAAGCATTTCCATTGCCTGGTATCAGAGCACAAATTCCCCTAAGTGCATAAAAAAATGCTCGTGCATCTGATAAATGAAACTTGTGCCGAATCTCAGGTCCTTGGAAGCAATTCAGAATTATTTGCTGCTGTGTTTAATCCTCTGACGTGGCCCCGTTTTAAATCACAAATTTAGAATCGACCCTCAAGCATCCGGGTTGGAAGTGGAGGCGGGAGGTGAATCGGGCAGATTCTCTCAAACACCGACCTCCTTCCACCCAGCATCGGGCTCGGGCCCAGGCCCCGCTCTGCAAAGCGGAGATCAGGGCCAGGGACCGCCCCATGTCACAGACTCGGGTCTCTTCGCAAGATGCCCCCTCCTCGGACCCTCGGAGGGGTCGGCTGACTGAGGGGCGCGGGCGCAGGTGCGGGTATGGACGAGGTTTGGGAACGGGCCGCGCGGACGTGGATATACACCAGCCTCCCGGGAGCCTGGCACGCGCTGCCATGCTAAAGGCCTGTCTGACCTTGCACTCCAGCCAAGGGGACCACCCCCCCCCCGTCCTGAGGGGCAGCGGGTAGAGCCTGGCTGCGTGCACCTTGGGGGGCCCAGGGGCTCCCAGGGAGCGTGGAAACGGGGCCCATGCACTCTCCCCAGTCCCAGGGCCACCCCCGCGCGCCTCGCTGACGCCAGGCCCCGCCCCCCGGGGTGCTGCTTGGCCTCCCTCCCTTCCCTCTGCTGTCCCTCCCGCGCCCCCCCACCCGGGGCCCGGCGCCCACACACACGGGCCTCGAAGCTGCTGCTGCTCCTCACACGCGGTTGACACAGACGCCCACACAGCCCTTCTGATCGACGCGACCCAGTTAGAGCAGCCGTTCCGTGGTCTCGGGGCCGGTGCCACTTCCGTGACGGCAGGAACGCCAACTGCTCACCCCCTGATGAGGGAAGTCCTAGGGCCAGTTAGGGACAAATGAACCCTCCATGTCCGCCAGGGCCACAGCGGTCAAGACAGCCAAGCAGCAGCGTCCCTCTGGGGAAGCCGCCGGCGGCGCAGCAGGAAACCCTTCCGCCCTCCGTCTCAGGGCGGCCCTTGGCTCCCGCAGCGGCGCGTCTGGGGCGCGGGATCGCGGCCTCACAGGCAGGCTCGCCTCATTTGGGGACGGAGAACACGCTGCGGTCGCCCCGCGGGGTGGGGGCCGCGGCCGAGATTCCGAGGGAGGGCTATGCCGAGCCGGTGCCCTGGGAGAACAGAAAGGGGGAAGCCTTGGGGTGAAAAGCAAGCCGCCAAATTCGGAGCCATGGCTCTGGGGGGCGCTGGGACGGGAGGCACGGAGCGTTCTGAGGACGCAGCGGTGACAGCGGAGCTCAGGGCAGTGGGAGTGGGGAGGGGAGGAGAGGCCAGCACGGCTGTTCCCAAACTTCCGTGAATGCCGACTGCCCTGCAGGGCTGCCCCCGGAGCGGCTGCCCCCGCGGGTCCGGAGGGGCCCCGGGGCGTGAGGTGCGGCCGGACCTGCCCCTGCGGCTGGCGTGGGGGCTGCTCCCTGAGAACCGCTGGCTCGCCGAGGAGGAAGGACACTGTTGTTTTCCTCTTGTTGGCTTGAGACGTGCAAAGTGTTCCCGAACACTCATGGGAGGGATCTGGCGTGCAAGCCACGTGGGTTTGGCGCTGGGAGCTGCAGCCCCGGAACAGCTGCTTCTCCAGCATGTGTGCGCGTGGACTCCCGGACGCTCCAGGGAGGGGTGTTTCCTCGCCAAAAATTCATGAATTGAGCCCTCCGAGCCCTGGGAGATGGGAGTTCCCTTTTCCGAAGCTAAACTCAGCCCAACTCTGCCCGGCAGCCTGGTCCTTCCCGCGCGTGGCTGCAGGAGTCTGTGCTGCCCGAGCCAGCGGGGGCGGGGGAGGGGGCACCGGGTGGATGGTCCTTCTTTATACAAGCGGCCTCTGTGGGGAAATCTCCGACAGCGATGCACAGTCTTCTCCAGAGCGCGTGGGAAGCCTGGTTTTCACTCACGTGGGGAATTTTGTGCTTCCAAAAGGAAAGTGCTGGTTGGGGGCCCCTTGGGGTTGTGCCAGGCGAGACGGCCCGTGGGCAGGACGCCGGGGTCCTGCCAGCCTCGGGCTGGCCCTGCGAGGCCTCCCGCCTCTGGCCGGAGACCTGGGCCAGGGCCCCGCTCTTGCTTGCGTCACCGCTCAGTCCGATTTCCTCGCCTGGCGGACGCTGGGTGGACAGCTGGGTGACGGGTGGGGTTTGGGGGGGTCCATCGGACCCGTTTTGGGTCTGTGCGTTACTACAAAGGAAAAAAGAAAGGTGGGGCTGAGACCCTGGCAGGGTGGGAGGCAGACAGGGAGGCGGTGGGGTGAGCTCGTCCCCGCGCCCGGTCAGCGCAGCTACTGGAGGAGCCGGGCCCCCGGGAGCCAGGGCTGCAGCCGGCAAACCTTCCCGCCGGAATCCGCGTGGGAGAAGGCGGCTCCGCCGGCCCTGATTCAGGCGCCAGACGCAAGGCCGTCGGCACGAGGGCTGGTAAGACTGCAGCGCAGGGCGCAAGGAATCCTTTTTGTCATGGGAAGCCTCTGCTGTCGCCTGCAAACCACAGGAGAAACTGTGGGGCATCCCGGCTGGTCGCCGATGAAATCTAATTACTTCTGTCTGCCCAACGCTGAGACGGCACCGGGTCCACGTCTGACTTGGATGGGAAATCCAAGGACACTTGGGCCACGTTTCCTTTAGGTGCTGGGCCGGGGAGCAGGGGTGGGGATGCGGGACAAGCCCTCGAACACCAGCACGTGCTCAGTCTGCCCAGTGGCAGGTTCTCCCTGCGACTCAGCTGGGGACTGACAACCAGGATGTGACCACCTGGCTGCAAGGTGCAGGCTCTGGGGCGAAAGCTGCGGGGACTCGGGGTGCACGGCCCGGCCGGCGGGAGAGCGGCAGCCCCCTCCGACCTGACCGCGCGGGAGCCGACCCCTGGCACCCTCGGGGTGCCGTCTGCAAGGTGGGACCGCTGTGCTCTGGGGTCCCGCCGTCCGGCTCGGAGGGGCCGAGGTCTGGGGGGCTGGGCTCCTGCCGCGCTGGCTGTTCTGTGTGGGTGGCAATGAACCAAACTATTGGAGGAAACGAGTGGCTGAGAGGCACAGTGGGTGCGACGGCCACACTCAGATCACGTGACGCTCTGGGACCCCTCCCTGCACGGCGCGGGGTGCAGCAGCAGCTTCGGGGCCTTTGCGCACTGGCTCTGGCCCCCGCCTGGGCACGGGCCGGCGGCATGGCCTTCGACGCGCTTCTTGACCCCTCTGCGCCTGGTTCCCAAGTTCATCTGCAATGAGAACAGGGTTAACCCCCCAGGTGCCCTGACAGAGGATTGCTGGGGTTTCTGTTCATTTCACTGACACCTTCTGGTCCGGCTTGGTCAGCTTGAATGTAACAACAGAAAACCCTGCTACCTGAAGCTTGAACAGATATTTGGGTGTCTCATGAAGCACACGGTTGACATGGCAACTTCACAGTAACCATGGGAACTCGGGCACGTTGTCATTTCCCATCAGCCATGTTTACTGCATAGACCTTGAGCCTTGTGTGTGTTGCCTCAAGGTCACAAAGTGGCTGCCACCCCTCCAGACCTCACATCCACATTCCCAGGAGAAAGAAGGGAAAAGGGGCAACGGGCCCTGCCAGCTGAGTCTGTCCCTTTTTAGGATAAGCCACAGCTTTCCCCAAAGCCGCACCTTGACACTTTCACTTTCGCCTCATTGGCCAGAACTGTATCAAACGGCCACCTGCAGCTTCAGGGAAATCAAGGGCCTGTGATGGAACTGGCTGCTGTGGCTCCGTCGCCTCTCCCAGAAACACCCCACAGCGGCCGCACTGCGCCCTCGCGCCAAGACCTGCCTCCATGCAGAAGCCGCCAACCCAGCGGTGCCGTCTCAGGGCCTCTGGGTGGGGCGGGGCGGGGACAGGGCCACGGGAAAATGGCGACACATCCGGGTGGAAAATGTCCCTCAATTGTTTACATCTTGTAACGTGCAAGAGACGTGACACTTAGTAGCAAATTGCAGAGAGGGGAGGCTCGTCCAGGCCGTGGGGGACGGCTTCTCCCTGGCTGTGGTCCCCTGGGCGAGCCCCCCGGGCAGGGGTGTCCCGGGGCCTGTGCGCGGCGTGGCGCGGTGCGGCGGGGCGGGGGGCGGGGCCGGCTGACCCTGCGGCCCCACAGGTGTGGCAGTGCGGCGGCAGCATGGAGGTGCTGCCCTGCTCCCGGGTGGCACACATCGAGCGCACCAGGAAGCCCTACAACAGCGACATCGATTACTACGCCAAGCGCAACGCCCTGCGGGCGGCTGAGGTGTGGATGGACAGCTTCAAGTCCCACGTGTACATGGCCTGGAACATCCCCATGACCGTAAGCGGGGGCAGGCGAAGGGGCGTCGGAGCCAGGGCCGCTGGGCGGCCGAGCAGGCCAGCTCCTCCCTGGGCCCTGGGGACAGCCCCGGGCCGTCCTCGGCCGCATGAGGCGGGGCCCCCTGTGCACCCCAGAGAGGAGTGTCTTGAACGGCCCCTCCACCGATCACAGCCTTGTCTGTGTGCACGTCCAGCTGGTACCCCACGCCCCGCAGCCCACCTCAGGGTGCGCTGCAGCAGGGACGCCCCGGCCTGGCCCAGATCTCCGCAAACAGGGCCGGGCACTCCGGGGGACCCAGGGCCAGCGCAGGTGGGGGAGCCTCCTGTCTGGGCTGGGGCGGGACAGCCGGGCCCTCCCACTGGGAACAGCTGCCCTGGACCTTCTCGGGTGCTGGGAGGGCCGGAGGCCGCCGCGGACGAGGGGCTCCACACCAGGAAACCCTGCAGGGCGGGGCTGCTCCCGGGAGGAGGGCCCCCAGTTCCTGGAGCTCCCCGACATGTGACCTGCACCACCGCCCTGCCTCTCTTCCCGCCTGGCAGAACCCAGGGGTGGACTTCGGGGACGTGTCCGAGCGGCGGGCCCTTCGCCAGAGGCTGAAATGCCGCAGCTTCAAGTGGTACCTGGAGAACGTGTACCCCGAGATGAGGACCTACAACAACACCCTCACGTACGGAGAGGTACCGCCTCCGCCCTGGTGGCCTCTGGGGTTGGGCGGCTCGCGGCCCACATGCCGGGTCCCCGCGCCAACCTTCCCGCGGGCTGACGCCGCGGGGCCCGGCCCCCTCGCCCCTCCACGTCCGTGCCCGTGGTCATGCGTGTCGGAGAGCGCTGTGCGCGGGCACGTCTCCGTCAGCGAGCCCCCTGTGCAGGGTGGCCAGGCCTCCATGCTTATGTGGGAGGCATGTCGGTCGGTCTCCCCCGGGGACAGGCTCAGTCACACCCACCAAGGAGCTGGCCAGTCCCCCCGCAGCGAGCCCGCCTGCTGGAGCACCCCTCCCGCCCCCTCCCCGCCCCTGCCCCGGGCAGGCCCTCCGCTGCTGGGTCTCGGCCACCCCCGGGGTTGGCCCTCACTTTCCCGGGACTGCTGGCTGCAGAGCAGGCCCCTCTGCCCTGTCGGGGGACGGTGGGGGGTGGGAGGGCACAGCCTCGCCTCGGCCATGCACCGTCCGGCATGGGCTCCTGGTTGTAGGTGAGAAACAGCAAAGCCAGCGGCTACTGCTTGGACCAGGGCGCGGAGGACGATGACCGGGCGATCCTCTACCCCTGCCACGGGATGTCGTCCCAGGTAGGGGCGGCGCCCACCTGGCCAGCAGGCGGGGCGGCCACGGCGGTCAGCACCTGGGGGCGCTCTGCGAAACGCACGCACGCATACGTAGGCATACACGTGCACACACGGGCACATGTGCGCACAGTCTCACGGACACGGGCATGTGTGTGCACACGGTTACACACCCGGGTGAGGGGTGAGGCCTTGGGCAACCTGCTGGCCCTCAGACTGGGCAGTGTCGGCACTTAGGTCCCGGGGCTGCGGTGCGGGCACCACGGTTCAGGGGGCCCTTGCCACAGGGACGTGCTCCACGTGGCGTGTCCACAGGGTCCTTCCCGGAGCCTGTGGGCCAGGGGCCGTCAGACCCGCTGAGAGAGGAGGAAGCGGAGGCGAGAGGCCAGGTGACTTGCCTGAGGTCACACGGCCAGGCAGTGGCTGGAGGCCTCAGCCCTGGGCTCCTGCCGTTGTCTTGCAAACAAGTGTGAACAAGGACGCGGCACATGTGACCTTGGGGGGGGTTCACCTTGAGGTTCAAGGGCAGACGAGGCAACCTGGGGGTGCATGGGAGACCCTCCCCGGGGCTGGGGCTCCTGCAACGCCCGGGGAAGGGGCTGGGGTGTGCTGCTGGGGGGACCCCGCGGGAGGAACGGCGCCGCCCAGCGTCCGGCTCTCCGGCCCCGCCCCAGCTCGTGCGGTACAGCACGGAGGGCCTGCTGCAGCTGGGCCCCCTGGGCTCCACCGCCTTCCTGCCCGACTCCAAGTGCCTGGTGGACGACGGCAGGGCCCGTGCGCCCGCCCTGAAGAAGTGTGAGGACGTGGCCCGGCCCGCGCAGCGGCTGTGGGACTTCACCCAGGTCAGCGGGGCGGGGGCCCCGAGCCCTGGGGCGGGGGTGGCGGGGGTCTCGGGTCAGCTGCTTCCCCAGGAACCCGCCTCACAAAGGTTGAGTGACCAGCTCAGGGGCACAGCCAGGTCCCGACCCTGCAGCTGTGGGGGGGGGGGGAAGCCACACTGTCACCTCCTCCAGCCTCCTGCTGAGGGGCGTTGAGGGGGAGCAGCAGGGAGCCTGCGACTGGGGAGCCCTCACCCACTGCCGGTCACAGGGCAGGCCCCAGACGCAGCCCCAGCTCCGCCGGAACCAGCCCCTCCGGCCCTTGGGGGCTGCTGGGGCCGCACACCGAGTCCCGAGCACAGACGTGAGGGCCAACCGTCCAAAGGGGGCCCCCGACCGGCGGGTCAGACCCTGGACTCCCTGTACTGCACCCCCCCCCGCCTCCAAGCAGTTCTGACCCTGCCACACAGGGCCTCCTGCCCTGGGCCACTGGGTGCAGAGAGCACTTGCCCCTAAGTGTGCGGCTGGGACCCTGCGCCCAAGAACAGGACGTGTGGCCAGCCCCTGCCACTGCAGCCCAGGGTCCTCCGCCACGTGGGAGAGTGGACCCCGCGCCCCCCGCTCCCCGCCAGCGACCCTGACCCCTGCCCGCACCCCAGCTCCAGGCCGGGCAGCAGATGGCGCCCAGGAGACACAGCTGAGCAGGCCCACGGCACACAGGCAGGCACCCAGAGAGATGCAGGGCACAGTCTGGGGCTCCGGTCACAGGGGAGGCTGCAGGAGTGAGCCCGCGAGGGCCAGAGGTCCCCAGGGGGCCAGGACAGTGAGAGCCAGCCTGCAGGACAGAGGACTCATAGGCTGTGACCCTGGGTCCTCAGCACGGCCAGGCCCTCAGCGCTGGAGGGGCCCGAGAGCACATCGGACAGGCCGAGGGTCAGGGAGCCGCAGGCAAATGCGCATCTCGGGGCCTCAGGCTACGCTGTCTGGTCACTCCTCATGCCGGGAGGTGGGCGGGCAGGTGGGGTGTCTGGTGGTTGGGGGGGAGCTGGGAGGACAGAGGGACTCGGGACAGACAGGGCCCCGTCTCCGGTGGCCGTGAGCGGCCACGCCGGCTGGCGCCCCCTCCAGCTGTTCTCACGGCAGCTCCGGCACCCGCGCTGACTCGGTCTCCCCGCCCCGCAGAGCGGCCCCATCGTGAGCCGGGACACGGGCCGGTGCCTGGAGGTGGAGATGGCGAAGGACGCCAACTTCGGGCTGCGGCTGGTGATGCAGCGCTGCTCGGGGCAGAAGTGGGCCATCCGGAACTGGGTCAAGCACGGCCGGCACTGACCACGCTGAGCCGGGGCCGAGGACGGGGCCGGGCCCGCTCCCGGGCGGCCGGGCGGCGGGGGGCGGGGCCGCTCCGACGCACGCACGCCACGCACGCCCGGCTGGGCCGCCCTGACGCACCACGCCGGCTCCGGCTCCGAACCACGTGCCTTTTCCGCGGTTTTCCTGCGCTGCCGCCAGCGGCCGCCTTCTCTGCATGAGCGGCGCCCCTGCACACCCCGCAGAGCGGCCCCGGGGGCTCAGAGGGCGCCGGCCGGGCCTCGCGGCCGTGCTCACCCGCCCGCGGCCACCCCGTCGGACCCAGGAGCACGCAGAGCACCGCCTGCTGTGGCCGGGACCGGTGCCGCCCGGCGGCCCCGGACAGTGCCGCGAGGACGTGCCCACGGGCCCGCATCAGTCCAGCGAAGAGCAGGTTGAGCGATGCAGACCTACGTCAGGCCCCCTGGAGCTGGTCGGCGGCCAGGACGGCGTCCCTGTCCGGGGTCTCCCCCAGGCCCGGCGCCTGCCCTGAGCGCTCTCAGGCCGGGCTCGGCACACGAGGCCCCACGGCCTCTGGCCTGTTTTTATAAGTAAAGTTTTATGGGCACGTGGCCACGCCCACCTGCTTACGTATCGCCCACGCAGGCGCTTTGGGGCTCCCGGGCGGAGCCGAGCAGCAGCAACACCCTCCCCGCCCCCCTCCACACACCCGGGACTGTCCTGCAGCCTCCGGACAAATCAGCACCTGATGAAAATCGGCTCCGGGAGGGGAACCGGAAACAGGTCCTGCCCGTCCTCCCCCCATCACATCCGGGGCCAGGCAGCTGCTCATTCCCGCCTCCTGCCGGATGGTGGGACCCTCGGGTGTCCAAGGACAGGGCCCCGGGGCCGGCCGGACTGCCACGGAGGGGACGCCCAGCTCCGCCCGTGCAGAGGGCCTCCCAGAGCAGAACGGTGGGCGACGACGGTCCCAGCTTCTCCCCTTTTTTGCGGAAGGACTGGGCCAGCCTCTAGACCGCAGGCCTCAGGCGGGGAGCGCGCCCTGCCTGCCTGGGGTCACCTTTCTGCCGCCGGGAGCCTGGCTGTCCTCCCAGGGATGGCACGGCGGCCACGAAGCCCAGTGGTGTCTCCTTCAGGAGAGAAGCCGCTGCTGGGGCGGCCCAGGGGCCCAGGCCCCGGGGAGACAGGGTCGTCCCAACGATCAGAGGGGGAGCAGGACAGCAGGGTCGTGCGCGTCTCCGCGTCCCTGGACAGGGAGGTCACAGGCCATTCCAGGTTCTCGTGCCCTGGGGACACGAGATGCCCTTCGCCATCTTTCTGATTCACCGTGACACGCGCTCTCCGCCCCCACCATCCCCGGCTGAGAATAGCGTCCACCACCACCCGTGGCTGTGGGAAGCCCCCGGCCCTGGTGTCCACGCTCCTTTCGTCTAAAGGCACGAGACGGGGAGACAGAGAGAGAGAAACGTGGATCTGGTGCTCCACTTACTGAGGCATCACTGGCTGCTGCTTGTCTGAGCCGAGCGGGGCGGCGCTGGGTGGGTCGAACCGCAGCCTCGGCCTGCGGACGACGTGCCACCACGTGAGCTGCGCGGCCAGGGCCCTTCCCGCGTGGGAACCACACGGTCTGCCCCAGGCAGGCGGGGCTCACGCTCGAACCTGCGTGCCCCAACCCTGTGTCCCTCCCTCTCCGCCCGCCTGCCCAGTACGTCTTTTTTCTTTTTAAACAGCAGTCATGTTTTAAATGGCCACGGCACAAGCAAATAGAAGTTAATGAAACTTCACAGCAGGCTCGCTTCTTTCATTAAGCCGATCCTGCGCTGGCTCTGCGGCAAACACAGGGAAGTCCCGGTCGCTTGTTCACAGCGGCTGGTGGGCGGCCCGCGCCGACCGCCAGGGCAGGGAGGGGCTGTGCCCGGGCACAGGCTCCTGAGGGGCGGCAGCCCTTGCCTTCGCTCCGCCCCTGCTGGAGACAGCGGGGTCCAGAATTTACCTTGGTCTAATGGAAAGGACCGTCGCCGCCATGAAGCTTCCCTCACCGCTCAGCCGGTCCGGGTGAGCAGGCCCCGTGGGGGGTGGGGTCCCAGGAGAGGGCGGGGCAGCCCCGACCCCCGTGCAGGCTGGAGAGGCGGCCCGGCCAGGGGCCCGACAGGCTCGAGGAGGGGAGCCTTCTGAGGGCCCAGAGCAGCCCTCAGGCAGCTGTGCCTGGAAGAGCCCGGGAGTGGGGGTCTGGGGTCTGAGGCCTCCCCTGCCCTGGCGCCCACCCCATCCTGGAGTCCCTGGCCCAACCGCAGGGACAGAGAGGCGAGGGCCATGTGGTGTCCCCGCGCAGGGCGTCTGCCATCGGCAGATTCCGGGGCTGAGCCCTTGCGGGGCTCACTCCGTGGGGGGGGTGCTGGTCAGGTGACGGGCACGTGCAGAGGAAGTTCAGGGCAGGGCGGTCACAGGCGGCTCGGCGGGCAGCAGCGTCAGCCAGGTGGCAAACCAGGTGAGGACATACGTTTCTGTCATGTCCCACGAGCACCCTCCAGGGACCCTCCTTGCCTGGCCTCAGTTCCAGTCTTTGCCAGAAGGTCGTGACGAAGATGTGACTCCGCTCATCCAAGCTCGCCGGTCCCGTGACAGCGGCTGGTCCCGCGCCCGGAACCGCTGCCGCCCTGTGCTGCGGCAGGGAGGTGGCCGTGCGGGGAGCAGGCGTCTTCAGCCCTTTCCTCCTGCGAGGCCCCGGGGCAGGAGACGAGGGGCCCGGATCGGCAGGGTGACCGCCCGCCCCTCAGAGGCCGGGCCTGAGCGCGGGGCCGCGCGAGCGTCCAGACTCCCGCGCACGCAGACGGCCTGGCGGGCGTGGGGCCGGGGAAGCTGTCGGGGCTCAGGGTCCAGGAACAGGGGCCAGTGGCCGAGCGCCGCACGCAGAGGCCGGGCCGCTGTGGGGGAGCCCCCAGACGCAGAGAGCCCCCAACGCCCACGGAGAAGCCGTGCTGGGCGAACCAGGTCGCGGGGCCCGCGGCAGGCCCGTCGCTGCCTCACACTTGTGAGAGCTGCACCCCCAGGTGCCAGAATCGATGGAACCGACAGCCCGCAGGTCGCGCAGTTCGCGGTGCGGGGACACATACGGTGAGAAGCCTCGAGGGTCACCGCTCTCGCTCTTTGACGCGCCCGACAGTCAGTCCAACGGCGTAGCTGCGCCCATGCCGGGCGGCGGGCCGTCTGTCCTCGGGGACGCGGCGAGGCCGGGGCGGCCGCCCGCAGCCCTTAGTCACGCCCCCGCGGGGGAGCCAGGCCGCGTCCCGGGGTCTGCAGGGACAGGCGTGTCCCCGCTGGCCGGCTGGCCCCCGTTTCTCGGCGGGGCCGTGGGGGCTGCTGGGGGAAGGAGACCCGGTCGGGGGAGGGGGAGGCCAGACAGGCGAAGAACCATTCTGGGAGGAAACCACCCAAAGAACAGAAGAAAACATCCTGGGAGAGCATCTTACTTTAGAGGAGCTTCAGGAGACAGCGTTTTAAAAGAGGAACCTAGAGATTAGACACAAAACTAAAGAGTGAGGAGAAAACCACAGACCCCAGAGCTGAGGGCACAAAAGGAGGCCCCACGTAATCCAGCCAGGGGCCAAAACGTGAAGGGCAGGAGCAGAGGCCAGAACCAGCGCGGCCGAGGGCCCCACCGCTGGTGTAGAGGAGAAACTCCAGGCCTCACAGCGATGAGAGGTTTAGAGAAAATCCTTAGAAAGAAGCAGGAGAAAGAAGACAAATTACTCTGGACCCACAGGACAATGACTCAGCATGGGGACCATCAGTGTCTCTTAAAAAGGAAACTTCAATGCAGAAGAGGGGAACTAGCCCAGAGGGTCCGGGGAGGCCTGGAACAGAGCCGGGGCGCAGGTGCCCAGCCCGCCGCGGACCATCCCCCGCGGGGCAGCAGCGCCTCCAGGCTGGACGCGGCGCCGGGCCGTGGGAGGTGGCGGCAGTCGGGCGAGCACACGGGGCTGCTTTGTTCTTACAACGTTTTTTTTTTTTTTGGCCACTGAAGTTATTTTGAACTGACCATGTCAAACATGAAGAAAACACGTTAAATGCACATTTTATAATGTGTAAATTATACCTCTACAAAGGAAGATTTTAAAACGTGCATGAGGTATATTTCTGCTTAATAAATAAAATGTATGTTTGTATGTGTGTGCTGTTGACTGAGAAAAACATACCTGCCCAGAGGACTCTCTGTGGTTTATTGGGCCAAACTGATAACCAGAGTCCAGCAGCCATTGCCAACAGAAGCCTCTCTCTCTCTCACCCACACGCACACATGCACGCACACACATGCACACGCACACATGCACACACTGCATTTCCGGGACAAGCCACACAGCGCCTAACCTCCTAACTGCAGTGCCCGCATCCCTGTCAACGCTTATAAAGGAGTCCCTGGAATTGCATTCAACCAATGGGCCGAGACCTGTCCTGTCCAATCAGAGCTGTGCAGCTACATCCTCATTTGCATCTTTGCTGGCCAATCTGAGAAGCTCCACAACCATCAGGACCGCGCGCTCTGGGCCAATCAGGCTGCAGATTTGGAGCCCTCCTTTGCACAGAGACGGGCCGTCCAGGGGCAGCGCGGCACCTCCTTTCCAGAAGCCCCCCTTCCCCTTGTCTCCTGAGCCTGAGGGCGGTTTCGCGTTCCACCACAGGCTGCGCCTGCCCTTAGGCGAGTGGTTTGCATAAGTAAATGCCTCCGCCCACTGGGCCCCAGCCTGGGCAGGAGGTTTGGCACAGTGATTATGGATCAGTAAGTCTAAGAAGACAGGGTTCATGTCTTAGTTTTGTTTTTGTCCTATCTATAAAAAAATGACATTCTATTATTTCCTGTAATTATAATTGTAGTTATAATTCTATCAATTTCATTTGTTTAAATAATCTATCATTAATTATATCATTATAACTACGTAATTCATAATACAGTGCATATTATATACTCATAATAATTAACTAGGCTGTTCATATAAAATAGGTTACAATTAGTTACTCTGTAA